TGATTCTGACTCATAGCAACCCTATAGGACAGAGTAGAACTGCCCCATAGGGTTTCCAAGGCTGTAAATCTTTACAGAAGCAGACTGCCACATCTTTCTCTGGAGGAGCAGCTGGTGGGTTGGAACCACCAGCCTTTGGGTTGTGGCCAAGCGCTTTAAACACTGCGCTGCCAGGGCTCCTATAATGCGCCATGGTGGCTACTAATGAGGAGTATATGTTTACATATGTTTATCTTCAGTACATTCAACACGTTTCTCACTTACTTTAAACAGGTGTTATGAATTGAATTGTGTTGCCCCCAAAATATGTGTTGTAAATTCTAACCTCTGTGCCTGTGGTTATAATGCCATTTGGGAATGGGTAGCCTTTGTTACGTTAATGAGGCAGGATTAGTGTAGGGTGTGTTTTGAGGTATAAAAGAGATCTAACAAGCAAGCAGAGCAGAGATGGGGGTAGATGCCAAGCCACATAAAGATCGCCCAGGAGCAGAAGCTCAAAAGAGACAAGAACCTTCCCCTAGGGCCTGCAGAGAGAGCCTTCTCTAGAGTGGCACCCTGAATTCGGACTTCTGGCCTCCTAAGCTGTGAAACAGTGTGCTCAAACATAGCAATGATTGTGAGGATGGCGCCGGACCAGACAGTGTTTCCTGCAACTTGTACATAGGGTCACTATGGCTCAGAACCGATTTAACGGCACCTAACAGCAGCAGCAAACTGTGAGAAAACAAATTTCTGTTTGTTAAAGCTACGCACTTGTGGTATTTCTGTTATAGCAGCACTAGATAACTAAGACACCAGCCACTGTTCTGAAGGCTGGGGATATAATAGTGATGAAAATACCTGCCGTTCGAGATCTCCCATTCTGTCAGCACCGAACAAGTAATTGGTGTACCTGGTCAGATGGTGTGAAGTGTTGAGGAAAAAGCGGCAAAGGGGATGACAGTATAGTGCGATTTTAAACAGGTGTGCAGTGAAGGCCTTACCTAGGAAGCATTTGAAAAAAGATTTGAAAGAGATGAGGAAGCAAGCCCAGTAGATATTTTTGGAAATCATCCTTGGCCTGAGGGAAAGCAGGGAAAAACTTTTGAAGTGAGAGTGGGCTGCCCATGTTCAAGAAACAGCAAGGAACCCAGAGGGGCCAGGTAGCCTTTCTCAGTCAGGACTCCTCACTTGAACCTGACAACTCGAGATAATTTGAGAGCCTTGTTTTCGCAGTGCTCCTGTGGATAATAGATGATTATCATTAGTACCATTTTAGATGATAGAGGGAAAGTTCATTCATTTGGTACAAGAGACGTTTTAGGGCAGGAGTCTGCAAACTTTTTCTGTAAAGAAAGGGTCGTGGGCCATACCCAAGCTGTAGCAGGAAGGCAGCTCTAGAGGATACCTAAACAATGGAGCATGGCTGTGTTCCAATACAACTTTATTTACTGATGCTGAAATTTGAATTTCACATGTCACAAAAGAGTCTTCTTTTGAGTTTTTCAACCATTTAAAAATGTAGAAATTATTCTTAGCTCTGTAGGCTGTACACAAAAAGACTGGGTTGAGTTTGACCACGAGCCCTAGCATTCAGATCCCTGCTTGAGGACATAAGGAGGTTCTTATCTCGTCAGGCCTGACGAGGACCTTGGCTTTTACTCTGAATAAGATAAGAAGCCATTGGAGAATTCTGAGCATTTTGAGAATTTTCATCTCCTTTAAGTTTGAAAAGCATTCCAGCCCTTGTGTTGAGGTTCCACAGAAGGAGAAGCAAGGGCAGAGGGAGGGAGACCAGAGGACACTGTTGCAGTAATCGAGGCAAGAGATGACCCTGTGGATTGGGCCAGAGTGTTCGTGGTAGAGGTGGTGTATGGTCATGTTCTCTCACTAGGAGATAGCCTATGCATAGGATGTTAAGAACTGTATAATTTTCAAATATAAAAATTTTATTCCTTCAGAACATTTATTTGGACCCCTTTGAGGCTGACAGGAGCCCTGGTGACATAGTGGTTATGTACTTGGCTGCTAACCAAAAGATGGGCATTCAAACCCACCAGCTGCTCCGTGGGAGAAAGATGAGGCAGTCTGCTTCTGGAAAGACTTACAGCCTTGGAAACCCAATGGGGCAGTTCTTCTCTGTCCTATAGGGTCGCTGTGAGCCGGAATGGACTCGATGGCTGTGGGTTTGGGTTTAAGACTGAAGTGCTGAAGTGTACGGCTGCATCATGTTTTCCATCGGTAAAGCTAATGGCAGAAAAGAGCGCCTTATTTTGGCAAGATCGTTAAGTGTTTTATGTTTTTGTGAGATGAAGACCTACTGGAGATCAGAAGCTGTTAATCATGCCATAGTCAGCATAGTTGGTGGAGAAAATGTGTTTGTTAGTGGTATCAGATTACTTCTTTCCTGTCATCAATCAGATGTCAATTGAGTGCTTTGTATGTGCCATATACCAATAGCTGTTGGGGATACTCCAATGAGTAAAATAGACACAGTCCTTACCCTTATAGGGCTCAATTTTTTTTTTTTTTGTTTGTTAGTCTCTATCCTTGAAATGAGGGTGTTGAGTAAGAGTATGTATTATGCTGCCTAATTTGGAAAAGAGTCCTTGGGTGATGCAAATGGTTAGGTGTTCAACCACTAGCTGAAAGATAGGCTGTTCAGACCCGGTCAGAGGCACCTTGGAAGAAAGACCTGGCAGTCTTCTTCCTAAAGGTCCCAGCCTTGAAAACCCTATGAAGCAGTTCTACACTACACACATTAGGGTAGCTGAGAGTCGGAATCGACTCCAAGGCAACTAACAACAATTTGGAAGACAAAAACAAAAAAAAACCCCAAAACTTGAGGCTTTACAGATTGAAACCTTTCTGTAAAGAAATCTGAAGATAGCATTTTAAGTTTTTAGAATTTATTTCATAGAAGAAACTTGAACTATTGTGTTTTACTGATTTCTGATGTGCTGTATTTTTAAATAACAAATTGGTGATGCCCACTTTTGCGATTAAGAGGGCAGATTATAAGCAAGCAGGATTTTTTATTCATTGATCTTGTACCTAGTATAACTTTGCTTCTAATCTTTTAGTAGTAATAAATGTTTTTTCATCTACATTCATGCACGAACCTTCTAGCTTCTTTAAAGGTGGCCATCTGGGGGAAAAAATGTGGATGAATGTACCTTAACTTTAAGACAAAAAAATTCCAAGGTTTTGTATTACTGGGAGAAAACTAAACTGACATTTTAGAGTTGATGATTATCTGTAAAGGGGTGGGACTAGTCCTACTGCCATCAGATGCTGAGATTAAAAACACCAAACCAAACCCATTGCCGTCAAGTCTATTCCGACTCATAGCAACCCTATAGGACAGAGTAGAACTGCCCCATAGAGTTTCCAAGGAGTGCCTGATGGATTCGAACTGCCGACCTTTTGCTGAGATAGTAGGCATCTGAGGCATCTATTAAGACTTCTGGAGTTTTAAATAATAATGTTTGTCTCCATTTGGGATAGGGCGATTGCTGTTAAAAGTATTCCTGGGATATATGGTGCCAGTAAAATAATTACACACCCATAGGAAACCTTTCAGTAATTAAAATAACAAGGAATGGTAATACCTGTTTTAAAACCTAAACACAAATTTAAAATGTGGAAAGGAAAAACTTCACAGCACAGACTAGCATATAGAGGGCATTGAAGATTAATTTCTGTCTTTTTATTTTTTCTGGTTGATAAGTAAGAGTTTTTACTTCTGTGGAAACCACAAGCTATGCCGGGGGGAAAAAAATACCTACACACATATATACACCTAGGTTTCTTAATGTAAAAACTAAAGAATATTGTGGAAAAGACAATGAATTGGTGTCATGTACGCTAGTTAAATGTCTCATGGAATAGGAGTCAGTTATGCTTCACAACATTTTGGAAGATTTTAACTCTACATGTTTGTCGTAAACCAGAAGATTCTAATAAAGAGTAAATTCTGTTAGCCAGTGCTGTCCACTCTCACTTCTCCCTTCATTTTCCATCACCACCTCCTTCATTCCGGTTCCTGGTCACTGTGAGTCGAAATCGACTCAGCGACACCAGGTTTGGTTTTTGGTTTGGCTGTTACTTGGTATTTAATATTCACCTCTTAAGTAGTCTTAGCCTTCGATCTGGTGCTCTTTTAATGTTTCCTTGACCCCTGCCAGTTATTTTCCTAAATCGTGGGAAGAGTCTGTGTCTTAAACAGCTCTTGTCTTCAGACCCTAGCCAGGGACTTGCGTCATAAATAGTAGGTGTACAAAAAGATGCTGAACAAATGCATCACATTACTCCTCTCTCCAAAACCTTCAGTTTCTTCCTGCAAAGTCTAGCATTTTAGGACTCCATGTCCCACGTCACCTCATATTCACTTACTTTCTGTACCCGAAGCACTGTGCAGCTTCACGGCTAATTCATACAATTCCATTGGAGTTAAATGTCATTTCCTTCAGCTTTTGCACATTCCAATCCTTTTCATCCTTTAAGGATCAGCTCTAATGGTTCAGGTTTTTTTTGTTTGTTTTCCCTGTGAACAACTTTTATTTTCTGTGTTGCATTTATGTTATTTTTATTGTAGCTAACTGTATCTCCCCTAAGCACATTGCTTGGCACGTATATTTTGAGGGGAGATCTTGTGTCTTATCTTTCTCGACAGTCACATCAACACAGGGCTTTGTATATCATCACTCAGTGAAAGTTTGTGGTTAGTTATTACTTATGCCTAAATACATTCTGCTTTTGTATTTTTTCATGAAGCGATATTTGTCCGTCTTGTGTGTGATATGCTCGAAGATACGTGTTTTAAAATTCCATTCTATTGTATTTCATTTTAAATTAGGCTGGTCTCAGCCCACTTCACTGATGTCATGACTCACTTCTGGGCCATTAATAGCAGCCTGAACATTTTAATGATTTTGGTTATAATTGTTTTTCTGATGCCTTTGTTCATATTTTGAGTACTTAGACAGTTGGTGTCAAATCACCAAACTTGGGTTTGATCAGTTGCTCTCCACAGGGGTCTGCCATTCGCTGGATTGCATCAGAGAATAGTGTTTGTCATTTGTCCTTTCTTAGGGCAAATTCAATCATTTCCTGATTGATATGTGAGGTAGTTAACGGAATTATAATAGAAATCAGTATCTGCCGTTCCATCAAACCTATGATGCCCACTCTGCCCCATCTCCTTTTTTTTTTTAAGGTAACATTTGTCGATCACCCATTGCAGAAGCAGTTTTCAGAAAACTTGTAGCTGATCAAAACCTGTTAGACAAGGTAAGTATTGTTCAGTATCTCGTAGAGGCCAGCCTGTTTTTTGTGAATTGTGAACAAAAATCTTTTCTCCCCCTGCAGTGGAGGATAGACAGTGCAGCAACATCCACATATGAAATAGGAAACCCTCCTGATTACCGAGGGCAAAATTGCATGAAGAAGCATGGCATTCCCATGAATCACATTGCCCGGCAGGTACCGTACTTTAACTTCAGAAAGCACACGTGTATGTTTTGTGTTACAGTGGATCATTGACAGTGGTGCTGTTTCTGACTGGAACGTGGGCCGGTCACCTGATCCAAGAGCTGTAAGCTGCCTAAGAAATCATGACATTAACACAGCTCATAAAGCACGACAGGTAGAAAAGATCTCATTTAATTTCTAAAATGTAGATTCTCATAACTTGTATGAGTTGCAAGAGGCTTGCTCAAATGTGTGTATTTAGTTAGGTAGGATGAACTGAAATGTAGCTGCATTGTGACCATTTTGTTTCCCTTCCGGGCCATAGTTCTGAAAGACTTGTATGATCTTGGAATTTACTTATTAGAATGTGTATGATAGTTCTACAGCTTAAAATGCAGAGAGCCCCGGTCAATAAGTAGAAAACCTAGTTGTGGTCGCTGTTTTACTTCTGTCTAATTTTAAGGGAATCATTCAGGCCTAGAACAGATTAAAAGGGGACATGGTAACTATTCTGCTTCATAAGTTTGTTGCTAGAATAAAGTTACTTAATGTGTATAAAAACATTTTATCAACTAAAGTTGCTTAGAAGTATAGGGTAATACTGATATTATGGACCCATAATTACTGTCTCATCATCTCAGACATAGATTTGAAGCCCAATAAAGTAATAACCAAAAGTTGTAATTTCATATGAAGATAACCTTATATTTTTATTATAAATTAGAGGATATGGTTGGTTTTCTAAGAGTTCCTTATTATTTAGTACTCAAATAAATCATGAAACATTCTCCAGTTGACAAAAATCATCTTATCCTTAAAAATAACATTTATGTTGAATTTTCAATATCCTTAATGTGTTTATCTTTTATATGGTATATGAAATGTTTTAAGCGTGCACAGAGTATGGAAATCATTTGGAAGACGTCTGTGATCCCATAAGCCAGAGTTTGCCACATTCTTCTGATCTTCTTTTGTTTTTACAAAGTAAAATGTAAACATAAAATTAAAATTTTCCCCTTTCTCCCACAGAATAGTCATTTTCCTGAAACTGGTGTGTGTTCTTTCCATGTTTTCCTTGTTTTGTTATATACTTATGTTCTCATGACAGCATTCGTTCGTACAAAAGTGTTAATTGAACATTTACTATGTCAGGTTCTGTTTTAGGTCCTGGGTGTACAGTAGTAAGCAAAGCATAGTTCCTGCTTTTGTGGAGCTTGTTTTGTCCAGAAACGTTAGGCAGTAAACAGAGAAACAGTCATTCAGTTTGTCAGGCATTAACAGGTATGCTAAAGTTGGCTTGTCTGGGTTCACAAGAGCACGCTGTTAGCATCTCCTGATGCTGGTATCCTGGGAGCAGGAAAGTTGACAATGATGGGAGTGTTTATACTACAGACATCGGCAAGTGCTGCAAGTCTGTCCTTTTTTTGGAGGGGTCAGGGGGAGGACAGATGTTAGACATCTGCCAGCACACCAGTAGACCAAACCAACTCATGGTGACCCCATGTGTCACAGAGTAGAATTGCTCCATAGGGTTTTCTTGGCTGTAATCTTTATGGAAGTGGATTGTCAGACCTTTCTTCTGTGGTGCTGTTGGGTAGGTTTGAGCTGTCAACCTTTTGGTTAGTAAACGAGTGGAAACCGAGTAAACCTGTAGCACACCAAAAACAAACAAAAACAAAACAAAACCCGTTGCTGTCGAGTCAGTTCTGACTCATAGCGACCCTACAGGACAGAGCAGAACTGCCCCATAGGGTTTCCCAGGAGCACCTGGTAGATTCAAACTGCCAACCTTTTGGTTAGCAGCCTTAGCTCTTAACCACTGCACCACCAGGAGTGATAGCAAATACGTTCCATGAAAAAAATCTAAAGCAGGGTGGGGGTTGAGAGTGATGGGGTTGAGGGTCCCTGTCTTAGATAAGTATATTAAATATGTCCTTTTGCAAATTGCATTTTTAAAATTGAACACCGTTTTGAGATTTATTCATGTGCTGCGTGTAGGTCTAGCTTATTCATTTAAATTCTGTAATGTAGCTTGTTGTAGCCAGTGTATTCCCATATTGATGTACACATGAAAAGTTGCTTAGCCTCAGTTGTAACCTGGAAAATGCAAATTAAAGCAACCAGATACCGTTCCATGCCAGTCAGATTGGCAAAGATTGAAAGGTCTGACCATGGTCTGACCGTGCCAGGTATTGTTATGAATATGGAGAAATGGAGACTGTACACTAGTGGTGAGGGCTTAAATGGGTATACTTTGGAGAGCAATTGTGATGTTACCTAGGATAGTTGAAGATGCTTATGTCCTACAACCCAGCAGTTCTTCTGGGTATAGATTCTGGACTAGCACTGCTTAATATAACATTTTGTGTTGAGGGAAATGTTCTGTATCTGCCCTGTCCCATGTGGAAGCTGCTTGCCACATGTAGCTATTGTGCACTTGAAACATGGCTAGTGTGGATGAGGAACTGAATGTTTAATATTACTTAATTTAGATTTAAATAGTCACACGTGACTAGTGGACACCTTATAGGATTGCGTAGTTCTAGAATCATATGACCACAAGGAAACAGGTATAAGATTGTGCATTACAGCATTTTTAGCAATAGGGAAAAATTGGAAAACAACCTCCAGCAGTAGAGATGTAGAGAATTTTATCACCATTAGCACGCTACAAATGCATGCTCTGGTTCCTTTCATAATCATAGGGGTTAAGTTCTAAAGAAATCAGTTATTTGTTTCTAATATAAAAAAATGCTTTACATATTATTCTGCAAGAATTACTACTTTTTTCACTATGTTTATTTTATACTCAATTGGATTTTTTTAAAAATCTGGCTAAAATCTTAAAACTTCTTTGTTTCCAATTGTCTCAGTTACCTAGTGCTGCTGTAACAAAAAATATAAGTGAGTGACTGTAAAGAACAGGAATTTTATTTTCTCTTATTTCAGGACGCTCTTTCAGGAGACTGGAAGTTCACGTTCAGTGAGTGGCCGTAGGGGAAGGTCCCTCTTTGTCTCTTCCAGCTTCTAGTAGCTGCTGGGCAGTTCTTGCATCTGCTGTGCATGTCTGTCTTCACACAGAGTCTTCCCCCTCTGTGTGTGTCTGTCTGCTCTGCTCTTTTTGTAAGACACCACTCAGAAGTGATTAGTTTTAGGACCCACCCTACTCTGCTATGACCTCATTAACATAACAAAAGAAAAGTTCTGTTTCCGTACAGGAGCTAGGACCTCAACATATATTTTTGAGGTATACAATTCTATCTGTAACACCAACCTAACAAAGATGTATGAGCTCTGTAGATAGGGGAAGACCATAAATTGGCATCATTGAACAAGAGGCATTTATTTTACTTGCTATTTTAATAAAGCACCCTGAGGACCTGACCCTTGCTGAAATGAAATTTTCATTGGACAGAAGATTAAATATCTCCATAACATTTATCCATTCTAATCTCTTCAGGTTTTCATGTACCTTGTTGAGTCTATCTGCTATTTTTTACTTTTAAAAGAACATAGGTGTATTTTGAATAGTCCTTCTGAATTATGAATAATACAAGTTTTCTACTTAAAAGATTTACATTTTTTTCTACACTAAATGTATAATAAAAGTGGATGCAAATGAAGTATTTTAAATATGTCTGACTTTAAAAAAGCAAAGCTAAAAACTTTTTTAAGAACACATGTAATTACTAGCTTTGGAACCAGTGTTTCCATGAAGTTCTGTTTTTTGCCTTTTTTTCCTCCCCCAGTTGCTGTTAAGAAAATATGCCCAACTATGTTATTTCTTTAAATTTTTAAGTATGAATGAGGCGTATTTTATAAGTTAGTATTACATCAACTCTTATTAGCATCATACATTAACGTTTACGGTTCTTTCCTTTTATTAATTGGCATTATTTGGGTGAAAACTCTTCTAGTACGTTTCTTAGAATCTCAGTTACTCTTCATGTACCTTAATTTTCCCATTGCTTTGAACCTGGGTTTAATTAATAAAATACTTTAAGGATGCCACATTTGTTCTTAACTCATGCTATCAGATCTCTGAATATGTTGGTGGTTTCTGGTGAATTCTGTGGAGATTTTTTACTTTTTTTTTAGTAGATTTTTATTGAAGTGTGCACACATTTTAAGTGTTACACAGGTCAAATATATGTTTATTGTGGTAACTACATATGTAAGAAAACATTTGCCATTTCAACAGTCTTCATGTGTACAGTTCAGTAACATTAATTATGTTCATCATGTTTTTCAGCCATCACCCTTATCCGTTCCAGTCTGATAAGGATTTTAACTTTACCCAAAGTAATTTGGTCTTTGCCTTTTTTCTTGAGAGACAACTCTAAATTCTTATAATTTCCTGAGTAATTGAGGTGTTTTTATTACCTCAGGCCTCCAGACCATACCTGATGGTTTGTGCCTAATGAGTGAGGGGCCAGCCTGGCCAGAAAGACCACCTAATATCAGCTGACCTTAGTGGGTGGGGGGGCATGAGTCAATCATGCATATGAAATGAGCCCTCAGTCATGCCTATGCATTGAGAACCCTTAAAGGGTCTGAACACGGAAGCTCCAGGAGCTTCCTGGTTGGCAGAAGACATCCACGCATATGGAAAGGTAGTGCATACTTCTTTGCACGGGAAGCCACACGTTTGGAACGCTTCCATACCTTGCCCTCTATGTCTCCTTTATGCTGATTTGTATCCTCCATAATAAAGCTGTAATCGTAAGATTGGCATTTCCCATGTGCTCTGTGAGTCATTCCAGTGAATTAGGGGACCCAGAGGTGTAGTGCGAGTAAAGAGGTAAAAAGTGAGGGCAGGTAAACCCTTGAGCTTACGGCTGGTATCTTGATGGGATAGAGGGAACCCCTATGTTTGTAGCTAGCAGGTCAGAAGTGAGGGTGTCATGTGGACTCCCAGGTTTTGGCTGGCATCTGAAGTCCTGGGCCTCCTTGGCAGTCTAAAGGATGGTGTCGTTTTAGCTTGTGAGATCTGACCTAGCTCTGAGTGGTGAGGGTCCGGAAAGTGCTGCATGGGCAGCTGGTGTCAGAACTGAATTGAGAAGCGAAAAGTGGATATTTGATTTGATATTTGAATTTTTCCACTCAGTTCACCAATTATACCATCACCCTTAACAGAAGCTGAGTGTCCCCTGAGCTCAATATATTTTTATACCA